CTGTCATCAATTTTACTCATTTAAATAGGGTTATCAAAAGGTTACCTATTAGTATTCATTTCCCAGTAACATTTGAGAGCTGTTAAGCACATACTTGAGCATCACTGATTGGCCATTGATACTGTATGACTGTGATGGTCGTGAAGGTCATTGGTTTACTACTCATTACCGCTGTGCAAATAAAAATACATGAACATTAGAGTGTTTCAAAGCCACGATGATCAGCTCATCTATGAGCTGAGATATGAGCAATCCTCTGAAGGATCGACTAATCAATGTGCTTTAAAAAGCTCCAATCTTGTTTTTCTGCAGCGGAAATTTCTGAGAGTTCTCTGTTTTCACTGTTGAATAATTGTGTTTTGACTTTCAATGATTCTTAATTGCTTGCCCTGACTATTGCCTCTTTTGTGAATAAAAGAATCTCTCGCACTCATCCATATGTTACAAGTGAATTGGTTTACAAGCATTTTTTTGTGGGTTTGGTCATGAAAGTACTTTTCCATACTGTTATTTTCCATACTAGCCCCGAATATGAAGCAGACAATGACTTAGCATGACAAATGTATTAGTATATATGTGCAGTGTTTCCTCTAGGATTTTTTTCCAGCTGTGGCGGCAGGCCTTTTACACAAATCTACCAACTACCTATGACCTTATTTTAATGAGTATTACAAGTCGAGATCGCATTCATGTAATACGAGCCTGCAAATATCTCTGCTTGCATGCCAATTTCCTTAAACAAATAACGCACAGCACTAATACGATTACAGAAATGTTTGCGCTGTTATAATTCACTTACCTTTTAATGTGTTTTGGTGCGATTATAACTCGCTATAAAAAAACAACAACAATGACTGAATGTTTTGAATGAGAAGCTGTGATGTAGCCATGGCGGGATGAATTTTGGTGTGGCGCCCCGCCATGGAAGAATGAATGTAACGCAAACCATGTATGTGTATTAGTATTAGTAAAGTATGTATTAGTATTTGTATATGTATTATATTAGTATATGCATTAGTATTTGCTAAAATCTAAATGAAACCCAAAAAGGGTCACACACCAGACGAAAAGGCTAGTGCTGCGAGATGTCTTTAAAAATCATACCTTTTTTTCAACATGTCCGATACAGGTTTCTGTTCAAATTCTGGACATCTGTATAGTTTTATACACAACAAAATTTTATGTGTATAGAATGTATACATCTGGTGTGTGATAATTGTCAAGGACTATAGATATACATAGATGATTCATTGGCATTACTATGAATGGGGAAATTTGCAACGCTCAGCAGAGCTGTCACAGTGAAGGAAGTCCCACTTTCCAGCCAAAATAGCCAATCATCAGCCTTTATAGCCATGTGGTTCTGTATAGATGAAGGGTCTGGACAGATATGCTTGTCTGTTGACAAGCCCTGTTGTTTGGCGACTACGGCATGCCTGCATTGATTTTGACAGGAATCACATATTGTGCCCTTCCAGTGTCGTCCTTGAGTTTTTTCTCAGTTTTTTATCTCTTTTTTAAAGTGTTTCAAACAGCTACCCCTGGTTACCATTGAAACAGACATGAAGGAGATTTGTATCATAAAACCTTTTGCACATGTGTTGGTGCAAACTAAAAAATGTCCGTTCAGATTTTGTTGTTGATTTTATATATATTTAATTTAATTGAGAGTTTGGCAAGTGATTTTTGAGATTTCAGGATTTTCCTCCTTTCATTTAGAACGGACTTTAAAAGACCAAGTGACAGACAAATCTCTGCATTGAGGCCACTCAAACCTCCAGTTCTTTACAATGAACATCCAGTGTTCTCCAGCCTCCGATGCCAAGACTGCAGCTCTGCACAAGAAGTTTGGCCAGAGAAAAAATGGTCGTGCCCAACTGAGCCTGGTTTCTCATGAGGATTTTTCCCTTCACTTTCGTCAATTGCTGAAGATTTGTTCCTTGCCACTGGCTTGCTTAGTTTGGGAGCTGCACATCAATAGATTTGCTCTTCAGTGTTCGGACTTTCAGCAGTAAAAATGAAACCACACTGAACTGAACTAAACTGAACTTTACTGGACTGACATTTTACTTCATTTCTCCCACTAAAAATAAACTCGACACAACCACTGCATCCCATTTATGTTGAGGAAAGCCGTGCTCATCTCCAGCAGGAGAACACAGTGAATGCATCACATGAGGGAAGAGAAAGTTAAAAGGATGAGAGGAAGCCATCAAGCGGCAACCCAAAATAATAATAACAAAACTTTAGTTTGTTAAAAATTCATGATAATAAAACTGAGATTGCCACTGTAGTCCTCTGTTATTGTCAACACAAGCAACTGACACCCAACTGTCACCAATTTGAAAGTGAAAGTAATTAAATAGCGAGAATGAATAATAAGCTATTTAAAGGCACCCTGCCCCCAGTGATACCGGCATTACCAGTGTTGTCACACTAACTAATGGGAAAATTGCATCACCGTCACAACCCTAGTATATGGGCAAAACAAAAATGTGTGTCTCCTGATGACACATTGATGTGTTGTGAAGCGAAACTGGATGATCAAGCTCCTCGACTGTTTGTTGAGGCTGTCATTTGAAAAACAAATGTTGTAAATTATGTTCAGTTTATTGCACAGACCAACAGTTTCACTTCATAAGACCTCAATGTATAATCAGGTATTAACTGGCTTTATGCACAGCGAGTGTTTTTCAGCCACTGATAAACTTTCGATGAACGGTTAATAGCTTCAATTTCATAAGGTTCCTTTTACTGCATTGAAGATGTACTGTAATTTAATTAAAATACAATCAGTTAAATAGACTTAGGCATTCATTTAGTTGTTCAAGAGTTAAACGAGATGAAAGAATCAGGGGCAGTAAGCAAGTGCAGAAACTCTATTGAAAAAACTGTGGTAAAATGAGACCCTAATTTATATATATTAATATATATATATATTATATATATATATATATATATATATATATATATTAATCAAGCAGTAAATATGGTTTATTTTTAAAGAAATCTTAAACGCGCAGATCTTAAATTTAGTAATTTAGTAATGGAATGACAGGTCACAGGAAGTGCTTGAGCTGGTTTGCTAAAAATTAAAAGTCCCTGTGCATATACCCCATTGTTTTGCCTGTGCACATTGTATTTTTTTGTACACCAAAGAGGGCATCAATAACATTTGATAATTTCACAAGTATCACAGTTCAAGCAGAAATCTTCTTTAATGTTCGACTGAGAAAAATAGTTACATCCTGGCCTGAGAGTCAGTAAATAAACAGAAAATTTTCATTTTAAGGTGAACAACCTATCAAGTAGTTCAAGATTACTGGTAAAATGACTTGATCTAGTCTTTCGCAGTGCTGGATGGCAGTGTATCAGAAGTGTAATTTTTTGTGGTCCTTCTCTGATCAAGTGTAGGTAGAGTAGTTTTTCACCAGAAAATTCCAGTGTACAACAAAATAAACCTAATGTGAAATAATGCCATTTCAAAACATGGATTCAACAAAGTCTTGCAGTTCTAGGAATAGGCCAGTATACGATTCTGATGGTATGATCACCTTGGATAAAAATATCACAATTTCACGGTATTGTAATTACTGCTCTAAAATATATTCTTTTTAAATTTTTGGGCAAAAAACTACAACTATTTTTCATCTTAGATGCTATTGTCCTAAAAAAAGAAGAAAAAAAGTAAATAAAAAAAAACAATACACATACCTTAGGAACGGGATAACAGAAAATTTTGACTGTTTTAAAACCTTGACTATTCCAAACCACAGCATACCATGCCTAGCTCACACCAAACAAGGTTTATAAAATGGAGAAACTAGTTATGGAGAAAATAAATATGTTCTTTACTTCCTAAACTCAGCTGCTGGAGTCTAAGATGAACATCACTTTAATAAAAATTTTAAAATAATAGTATGCATTGTGCTCAGATAAAAAAAGAATAAATAAATAAATAAATAAACAGACTAGCCAGGATACAACCCTCATCAAAAGGTTACACCAGTAAGTTGCTGTTAAAGTGTGTCTGCTTGTTTAGACAATTATTAATGATGTATGCTTAACAGAGTTGGGTGTTAATGTAATCTAATTACATTTTTGGGAAACGCAGTAATGTAAAAAATTTCATTTTATATTTGTGAAATTTGATTACAGTTAATGAAGTCAGAGTAATTGCGTTACTTACAATAGAAATATAGTTTTTAGAAGAAAAAAAGCTTTTTTAAATCATGTTTTCTGCTGCAACATCAGTTAATAAGCATGCACTTTTAAATTGCTGGAGAACACGAGCTGAAATGGTTGCTGACGAGAGTGGAAAAACAGACATTACTCAAGTCTTTTGAATATGTCAAGCTGCTGTGTTAAACCCATAGTAATGTTTTTCATTAAATTTTAAACTACTGAAAAAGCTGCAGTGTATTTTGTATTTTTATAGGTATATTTTAAATATTTTAAAAGTAACCTCAAAGTAAAGTAATTAGTAATCTGATTATTTTTTTACATGAAGTAATTAGTAATGTAATCAGATTACAACTTTCCATTCATTATGTAATCTATTACTTTAAGTAACATACCTAACACTGATGCTTAATGTAAATATAACTTGAAATAATCTCTACTTCATCATCCAAAGGTCTTACTCTTCTGTACTAGTATAGTTAAGACAGTGCAGACATCAAAACATGCCTTTTCTCTTTGAAAACATTGGCAGCAGTGTATGTGTGTTCAAAGCACAACAGGCAAAACTGGTTCACCTACTCAATGGACTGGTTCTCCTCTACCCCCCCACTGTTGACCTTGTCAAGTGTTTGCTTTGTAAGTAAAGGCTGGTGCTGCTGAATTCAGCGAAGAGCTTTTGACAACTTAAAAGAGCCAGTTGTTCACATACTACTAGCCTCTACTAATAACTGCAGCAGTTTTAGTTTTTAGAAATGAGACAAACAAAAGCTGTCAGTGATTTCACAATTCAGTAAAAGCAGAGAAAAACAATGACTCACAGCTCTAGGATGAGGATGACCTCATGCTTGTTTTCGAACACATCGTGCAGGGTGATGACATTGGGGTGCTGGATTTCCTTCAAGATGCTGACCTCCCTCTCAATGTCGTCTTTCGAGACCCCTCGTCGGCTTGATTTGCTCCGCCTCTTCTTGATAAATTTGGCTGCATACTCCACACCAGTGCTCTTATGACGGCATTTCTTTACCACGGCAAACTGACCACTGAAAAAAACAATAACACAAAGATTGCTGTCATGTCCAATTCAAAACGTGAAATATGTCATATTTTAAGGGCAAGAACTGAGAAATAATACTATTAAAAACAACTGATGTTTTAGAACAGTAAACATTCCCAATAACAGCCATTGGTGAAACCAAGCGGTCAAAATTGTTCTTAATTAACGTCCTGCGTTAATCAAGCGAGACTTGTTGGTGTTTCAGTGAATAGCTGATCACTGTTCCTGTCAATGAACTCCAATAATGTCCAGCTACAAACTCAACGGCCTTCAAATCGATGTGTTTCAACAGATTTAGAGTGTTTTTTTACTGTGTTCTACATTTATTTTTAAAGGATATAAATAGTAGATCAAAAGAATAATAGTAGTCAGTCTTTTTTAAAGCAGCAGCCGTTTTTTTTTTTTTTTTTGCCATCTCCTGCTGTCCTGTCAGCTTCATTTATTGAATAAAAGGCCTAATGTGTGGACTAAAGTGTGAGTTAGTGTGCATTTAAACTATGCGTCACTACTGCTTTTCCTGTTACATATAATTTTCTGAATATTTATAGATTTTTACCCTTATTTACCTAAACATTATTTTCAGCATACATAATTGCGTGTTCATCTTTTATTTTAATATGCAAAAAGTCTTGACTTTGACACAACTATTAAAACAGATCACACGAGTGTCACAAACAGGATAGAATAGGAGTGTAGGGGTGGAAAGTAGGGGTGTAACAGTATTCAAATAAAAAGGCCCTACAGAACACTGTTACAGGACAGAGAGCAAGTGTTCTCTAAAACAAAAACAAAAAAAACAGTTTATGGGTCATATGAGCAGGGCTTTATAAAGGATACAGAATTATCCAGGAGATCCAATCAGGAATTAAATGCACGCAGCCACACTCTTGTTTTCAAAAGTCTGCATTTATAAAAACAACCACTGAGTTTTCAAACTCAAACAGTTCTCTGGCATTTCCAAAAGTCTCTATTTGAGTGTGAAAAAATTAGGACACCACATATAACAAAAATGAACATATAACAATGAAAATTAAGATGAAAAGCAGTGTAAAACACAGTATCAATATGACATGCATCTCCCCATGGTGAGTCTATGAGAGCAGATAAGAAACGCAGTAACATTTACTGATCGAGCAATATGAGAATATTAAGTTTTGTTAGTCAATACTCAACAGAGATAAGCAAGTTGATAGGAAATGTAATCTGTTTATATATTTTTCAGCGTAGTGTAGAACTGTGTATACACAACAAAGCAGGATGTGTTTGAAGAGAAACTAAAAATGTCACTGACAGGCAGCAACTCCTCTGTGATAGTAACTTGATTATTCTTCTAAGCCAGTGGTTCTCAAACTTTTTTCACCAAGTACCACCTTAGAAAAAAAATCGTCTCTCCAAGTACCACCTTACGACGCTATTTTTTAACCAGTATTAAAAAATAGCGTCGTAAGCCTAATTAAGCAGCTACAGGTGTGCACAGTTTTAAAACGATGCAGATTACTTCCTATTAGTAAGAATATGTATTATTGTCAGTCACTTTAAACATTTGAAATAGTCTGAACATTAACTGTGCTTGCAGATAAAAAAAAAGTTTTAGTTGAAATGTGCTTTTAAAAGTTCATAAAAAAATGGCACTGTTCTTAAAAAGTAAAAAGAAAACTGCTGTACTTAAATCTAAAGTATTCATAGTAGCCTATTCATCAAAAGCTGGAAATGCTGCTTGGACCTTATAAATATAGGCTATATGTCATATTCCTACACTTTCAGACTAATCTTGAAATAAATGTTAAATGTACATGACAGGGTTCATACAGGCACAGCCTAATGAAAATCAATTCCAGCACCTATTTTTTTTTTCAAGACTGACATGCTATGTATTGAGGACCTGAAATGTATTCTCAGCAACCCATAAAACATTGCATAGGAATAGATACAAATAAAAACCATTAATAATAATATTTATTAATCATATATTAATAATATAATAAACCTGCACTAAGTGCTTGTGAAATCTTTTTTGTACTCAAGTAAAACTACTATTACACTGCTAAAATAAAAAAATTTTTAGTAAATAATACTAATATTAGGTAAAAGTACAAATTACTCTTTTAAAAAGTACTAGTTGGTTACTTTTGAAAAAAAATCTGATTTTCATTATGAAATCACTTTTTTTAGTGTAAACCTGATTGAATGGTTTGATTGCTTACATCCCAAAGCTACATGTATAATTTGCACTAACAAAGGAAGTATAGTCAATTTTTCCTTTCATGACAATTAATCTTTTTCAATAGCACTGGTAAAACTACCAAATAATCTTTAAGGCCACAGAGACACTTTTTGCCCATTTTTAAAAATATATATTTTTAAGCTTTGAAAGGTTAAATTAAAGTATATGGTAAAAAGATTTCAATTTAGCCTTTTATTTACATATTTTACACTATTTTCTTTACAATATGGCAAATTTGTTTCTTAAATAGCTGTACATCACATGTAGATTTTATTTTACACTTAATCTTAATCTAAAATAGAAACGTAAAAAAATACAAGTACACTGTCAGTAAAAAAATAAAACAAATTACTTCATTTTACTTGAGGTATTTAAAATATGACGACACTACATTTATCAAAGCAGTGCTTTAAGAGTCTTATTGTAAATTGTGATAAATAAACAATAAGTAGGCTAACAATGGATTGCTTTGACCTGTAATGCTTTAGGACAGATCAGAATACAGCTAAATGTATAAATCACACAAATACCTCATCCAGAAACATTTCCAGCATAATTATTTTGTCGTAAAGAAATAAAAAATGTTCCACCTTTGCTAAAAGTAAGTTTCACTTCACAACACAGCCAAATAAGAAGACCATTAGCATTGTCATCGATCATGTATCAATCTATTTCTAAATATTTTATAACTTTGAATACTTTTGACTAAATTTAGTTAAGGGGCAAAGATAAATAATGTCTACTTTAATAGTGGAAAGATCGCGATTGTATTCAATCTGAGCACACAGGCGATCATGAGAGGACTTGCAGTTCATTTGAAAAAAGCATATTTAAAAGCTCGCATATCTGTTTTAGCGATTTGCGTACATGAATGCGCTCTCGTGTTAAAATAAAGCACTCGCCGCATTTGCAGAAATGAGTAATTGCGCAATACCTTCATTCCCGCGCCGCCATTCAGAATGTATTTAGAGGAGTGACAGGTCAGAGGCGAGTCGACTGGCTGTCGGAGAGCGAAACGTGTATGAAGATCATCAAATAGGCAGGAAATATGTCCGCGGTTTAATTACTCTGCTAGACATCTCTGTAGTGAAAACATCTGAGAAGCATTATTCCAACAAAACATTTGTTTTTAAGTTGTTTTTTCTGTCTCTGCAACACAGAAAGCCTTTGTCCCGCCCTTACGTTTCACGCAACTAGACAAGGTCGACTGTGATTGGCCACTTTTCATGTCAGTCAAATCATGCTTCAGAATCAATTCTTAAACTTCGGAAACTGATTTTCAGCAGCTTATGACACAATGCACTAAAATAAACACTCTAAGCACAGCGTTGTGATCGTACGCTTCACAAAACAGCCAATGCTGATCACATCAATGTTATATTACGCATTAAAGTATTAAAAGTGTTAATTGTTTCTTTCATTATTCAGCGATTCCTCCGCGTACCACTAGGAGGAAGCCCGCGTACCACTAGTGGTACGCGTACCACAGTTTGAGAACCACTGTTCTAAGCCATAGCAGTGATCAAGCAAAAGAAAAAAAGTGCTGAAGCGAGTTCATCTTTGCTGCTGTCAAATGTGTTGGTGCGTTGGTCAGTATTCATGTGAACTCTGACAACTACAGTGTGATTAAAGTGATAGTTAGTGAGACTTTTTTCCAAGCATGCAGAGTCTCGACAGCAGCTATTTATGCTTATAATAATAAATCAACGCACACACAGAAGATTTGTATCAACAGATGAATGGATCAATACTTTGTTTGAAAACTCTTGGTATTTTTAAAGGAGCATTTCAAACTAAATTGAAAATTTTATATTTAAATATAACATATGGTAGCATTTATCAAGTGTTTATTTTTTAGACTAGTCTGCAGTGGAGATATTTTACAAAAAACAGAAACACGTGAAGCCAGTGTATAATATTTATACGTTATTAAAGTTAATAAAGCCAGTAGATGTTGCATTCATCGAATCTAAAAATGCCACAAAAGCAGTTGTCAAGAAACAGCTAAGGTCATGAATAAGCCTGTATTTTGCGCCTATGGATTTTAGGCATTTCTTGACATTTCTCATAAACACTCTGCGTTTATGAAGAAAGGACACAGAGAAAACTTGAAAAATCCTCACTGTTGTCTCTGAATTTTAAAGGAGAAACACTGGACGTGGTCATTGTGTAGCAGAGGGTTTAGAGGGACCGGTGCACTCTTTCTAACTTTAAACAGACCTCTTTTAACGTGATGGCGAGGGTCTCAGGAAGCCATGACTCACGACATCGCAGTGGATCACCTTCCATGCCCTCAGGTAATCCAACAATTCAGATATTCCTTCGTTTGCCCCTGTTCTTGAGATTGTCTGCTCTTTCTTTTAAGTTCTGGACAAGTTTTTTCAGACTTTGTAATTTAGTTTTGATCCTGGACAGTTCGTTCTCCATCTCAGATCCTAGTTTTTGCTTCTGCAATCCTTTTTTTATGCGTCAAGCTTAGTGCAGTGCATTTGCAGCAACTGTTATTTATATATATATATATATATATATATATATATATATATATATATATATATATATATATATATATATAAATTTGCACACATTTGGAAGGGCACATTTGGAAGGGCTGGAAGGGCATCCGCTGCGTAAAAACTCGCTGGATAAGTTGGCGGTTCATTCTGCTGTCGCGACCCCGGAATAATAAAGGGACTAAGCCAACAAGAAAATGAATGAATTCAAGTGGCATTTAAAAAGATAGTTTACCTTGCAAAAAATGACAT